TTGGCCACCCAATTCCAAATATGACTGCTTGTCCCAGACCACACCACAACATATGTATGGACCAGCTTGGAAATACACAGATCACAGATGGACGGTTTGTTTGGGTGCCAAAGAAATAAGTCAAAACAGACTTAAGAGGGAATGACGTTGGACCAAAAATTTGGCTCTGCCAACAGCTGCCACAGATGAAAACCAAGGTCAGATTACGCGCCCGGGGCAGCCTGCAGGTCAGTGTAGATCCTCTAAGGGACAGCAGTGCCTTAGGGCTATTGAACACCTTGGACAGAGGCTGGGCACCGAACTGTGCTCTGCCCTTATCTTCCGTCACCCCAGCAGCCCCAGGGACTGAATTGACTATTATGTCTTTTTTTTTAAGGCAAAATAGTTGAAGCTTCAGAGATTATTTTGTCCAAGGTCAGATCGAGAGAGAGGTCTGGGATTTGAATACAGGCCTGAAGTGGGTGCTGAACTACCTACCCTTTCTCTCCGAAGATACATGCGTGTGGGGAACTAACACCGAGGGAACTAGGACGAGGAGCTGTGCCCTCACTTCTAACAGAAGGAATCTGGAAAGCTAGCATTCCACGGTCGGAAAACCGCCACTTTGGTAAGTTAAAGTCCAAGTACGTTATTCAGCTTTAAATATCATTCCCACAGATTCTCCATGAACAGCTGTGCTGCCTGGAAGTGAGCACCTGGTGGATTCTCTCCCCCTACAGAAGCAGACATTATCTCCTCCTGCAGCGGCACCCAGCCCCCTCAAGCCTCCCCCCAATGCAGGTATTGGGTTTCCTCCCCTGTGAGCTCAGGGACTTTACTGTGATGACCACCCACCTCCTTGTGATGGGTGTTAACTTCTGAGTGTACTTGTCTTATGGCCACCTATAAATGTCCCAAGATAGTAAAGATTCTCTGCACGGACCTGGCTGCTGAGATCATGGCCATCCCAGAGGTGAGCATGCTACCATAAATGTGCCGGACTCCTCCTTTATTTGACTGACTTCACTATGAACTTTATCAATTACAGCTGTACAATTGCGCCGACGGACCCTGCGGTTGTTAGAGGCTGGTTTCCTATGAGTGGAATCAAGAAAGGTCTTAAAAAGGAATGCACAAATTCACCCACACACGTGCCTATCACACACACACAGGCTGCCTTGAAGTGCCGGCTCCTGGAGGTCAGGATTCAGCTGCTCCCTCTTCGCTGCGGTTTGACTTTTTACCTCTGGTTAGTGCCTACCAAGCCCACATAGTTCAGGCCTGGAGAGCGGAGACTGAAGACGGCAGCTCACCATTCTGCTGGGCCCTTCCTTAGCCTGCTGCTGAAGCCACGGCGGACTTTGCCAGGAGGAATTCCAATCAGCTCGTGCCCCTATTCCTGTGAGAACTCGTCTCAATCAGAACTGCATAGATGGCCCATCCCCTGGCTACATCATTTATATACTAACTTATGCAGAATAATCTTACATCCTTTTCCTGCTGCTGCTCCTGGAAAGGCTCTATTTTCCTGAGCTGTGGGCGGAGACTTTGCTAAAATATTTATTTTTGTTGTTTGTGATTAAAATGGTGTTTTTTGATGTGTGGAGTGGAGATCCAAAGCCCATTTGTAGGCCACTGGACATCCCCTTACAAGAGTCCTGGGGAAGGAGAGGAGCCAGTCAGAGTGCGATATAACAATGATGAAGCATACAACTTCCCCCTAGTTCCGAAATGCTTCCTCCTCCCCCACTATCATGATCCCAATTCTACCTTGCACGTCTGGCTAGACCAGAGGATGTTCACTGGTACAGATAGAAACTGGAAACGCAGGGAATCCAGGGCAGATGATCCCTTCATGACCAGTAGTGTGAGTGGCGATACTGGGAGGGTGGGTTGGAAAGGGGGAACTGATTACAAGGATTTACATATAACCTCCTCCCTGGGGGAGGGACAACAGAAGAGTGGTGAGAGGCGACGTCGCACAGGGCAAGATATGACAAAATAATAATTTATAAATTATCAAGGGTTCCTGAGGGAAGGGGGAGCGGGGAGGGAGGGGAACAAATGAATGCTATTGACCTCGGCATCAAGATTCGGTCTTGGCGCACTTGGGCGTGCCCAGGGCTGGGGGAGCGTGCCTTCATTAAACACCAACCATGGCTGGTGACTTTATTTCTACTCCTTTTCACAGGGCAAGTTTCCTGACCCTCTAGAGCAGCATTTCTCAACCCGTGGGCTGTGACCCCTTTAGGGGGATGGGGTGGTGGTGGTGTCAAACGCCCCTTTCACAGGGGTCACCTGATTCCTAACAGTAGCAAAATTAGTTACGAAGTAGCAAAGAAAATGTATGGGGGTCACAACAAGAGGAACTGTATGAAAGGGTCGAGACTTACAGGTGGAGAATCGCTGCTCTAAAGGCATGTGCACACCCCCACCCTGCCCCTGAGCAGTGGAGAGTGGTGGTCAAGCTGTCCTCCAAACACTTAGAGCCTGACTTCAGGGAGCCACCATCCTCCCCCTACACGGGCTCTTCTTCCATTCTTCCAGATTCCAGTTGTCTTTCTGTTCAAACTACAAACTCTTCCCAGCCAACACAAGCACCGCCCACGCCCCTCCTTTTTTGTAAGGTCTTAATATCATGTATGGGAGCAAATAGCATCTGGCAATACTATGGGGGAAGCGGTTTCATGATCATGTAGACTACTCCTCAGTTGTTAGCATCTGGTGCCCTCGTGTGGCTCCTAACCTAACTCAAAGGAGCCCTCGTCCTGCAATGACTCCCCTTCCCCATTTTGTCCCGGTTTAACCACCACGACAGCATTCTGTGTATCATGTTTGCATTACACAAATGCCACCCATCTACAGATGGAGACGAGATCTTAAAAGTCATCTAGCCCAAACCTTTCTACCTAAAACAATCAAACAAAATTAAAACAAAACCAGAAAACCAAGAAATGCCTACTGAGGGGTTGTAGCAATAACACAAATGGAAAAACCCCACCGAATTCACTGCCATCAAGTCATTACTGACGCTCCGCAGTGGCCCCCTATGGGTTTCCGAGACTAACTCTTGATGGGAACAGAAGGCCCAGTCTTTCTCCAGTGGAGCTGCAGGTCATTTCAAACTGCCGACCATGCAGATCACAGCCCAATCAGTAACCAAATTGCAAATGTCCCCCCTAAAAGTAAGGTGACCAGATTTTAACATTGATAAAGCGGGACACCATTGATAACTCATATCCTGGCGAAACAGCCACATGGCAGCCGAAAACTGCATACCCTAGCTTGTCGTGAATTCTTTCCAAAAATCGGGACTTTTTAAAAACGCGGGACGCATTGTTAAAAATTGGGACTGCCCCGCCAAAAGTGGGACGTCTGGTCACCTTACCTAAAACTCTCACAAAAAGTATTATAGCCCAGTATGTCAAGTTGCCCATGTAATCTTTAAATAAGTCACTGAATTAGATGTCCAGTTTCAAGGTTTTGATTTTGTTTAAAACCAAGAGGAATTAGACGAGGTTGCAGGTTGATTTTAATGAAAAAAGAAAAATCTGTATAAAAACAATTATGCTTTATCAAATGCCCCCCACACGCCCATTCACAGGTGTGCATAGCCAATACAGAATCTTAGAACCTTATTTTTTTCCATGTTGACATAATCTGTCAAGAGGCTTCTGGATAAGAAGACTTTACATGAGAAAAAAGACCCAGGGTCTTGCACATTTGCACACACACATGCACACACACCCAACCAATATTAATGAAGAACAAAAACATGGCTATAATATGAATAGGCTGGGAATGACTTCCTTGTGAAGTTTTGCTAGAAAGGAATACTACGTGAGTAAGAACGCTTCATCCCCAAGAGACACAAAGAGGGGAAATGGAGCAGGCATCAGCCTAACTCAATAAACAGTCTGAGAATGCCAGTCAAGGGCTATAAATTGGGAGTTACCCTCCCTACGTTTCCCTGCCTCAAACTATGCAAACCTGCTAACTGTGGCTGTTCAAGAGCACCTGCTTTCATTTATTGGATGGCCTGGATTTATTCATCATTTCCTAGGTGTGGGCTGTCCCTCTCAGGGGGCGAGTCGCCAATCGACACACAGAGTTAGGCTCTATCCACCAGCAAAGCCACCATGACAAAGGAGGGCAGGGGCTGGGACCTGCCTCGGTTTGGATGACAGCATCACTACCTGCTATCCTCGCTGGTCCTTTAGTAAGTTGCACAGCCGCTAATGCGCCTCCGCTTCTTCATCTTCAGTGAAAGCAAAGCAGCCCTACAGGACAGGGTAGAACTGCCCGTGAGTTTCCAAGACTGTCACTTTTCACGGGAGTAAAAAAGGCCCATCTTTCTCCTGGAGGAGCGGCTGGTGCTTTGAACGGCCTGACCTCAGAGCAGCCCAACACATAACCACTGCACACCCAGGTTCTTTCATCTTCCGCTGGCTTCAGTCAGGGCTCATAATAACATCTGCTTCCTAAAGGGTTATGAAATGATTCAACAATTTAAAGGATTTATCCCACTGCCTGGCACAAATGCCCAGATACTGTTGGTTAAAATCACTATTCTTAGTGGTATTTTCCCCAAACCCAAACCAAAGCCATGGCTGCCGGGCACTTCCAACTCAGAGACCCTTTAGGGCAGCCGAGTGCCTCCAGGCTTTAGGGCAGCCTGATGGCACATCCTGTTCCCACAGAGCCAACCTTCTGGTTTGCAGACCGGCACTTGCCTGCCCGGCCTGGCACCCTGGCTCCCAGGTGCACTACAGGGGGACAAGAGGAAACTGCTATTGCTGCTCTGTGTTTTTCTTGTCTTTGATGAGGTGTGCAGGGCCCCATGTGGCAAAAAGAGGAGATGGCGGTAGACTCGATGCAAGAGAGTGAGGATCTAGTCTTATGAATATAGATGTCCATTTTTATATTAGAAAAAAATTCCAGGGCTCCATATCACAAATGTAACACCTTCCCTTCAGACGTTCCACAGCGTCCACCACGAGACGCCCTACGCACACTCTCTGAGCGGTGGAGTTTCTATCGGTGCTCAACAACAAAGGGGCCAGACAGGGTAACTAAGGAAGAGCTGTGGGACCTGCCCTGCCCGTGGGCCAGTCGTAGCAGTCATCTGTGTGGGCCTTGGAGCTGGGGTCAACCCAGAGCGCTGGGCTCCAACTCCAGGGCCCAGACACTGCCCACCCCACCCCCAAGGCCAGAGGTCAGGTTCCGGTGGGCCTTCAGCTCTCCACTCACACCCCTTGGCAAGGGGCAGCTTTCCAAGAGGCGAAGGCAGCAGCAGCAGCAGTACGGAATGCCTCGTTCCTATTTCAGTATGATATGATAGCTATCGTTGGTTTCCGCTGTGAAAACACAAAAACAAAACAGAATGCTCTTCAGTGGCCGGCCCTAACACACAGAGGGGGGAAGGGAAATACATGCTAACCTTTCTGGGGCGAAGGGGAAAAAAACCAAGGGGGAGGACAAAGGCTGGTCAACTTCCTGATTAAGGGCCCACTCCTTGAATACATATACATTATAAAGCCCCACGCCTCTAGGGGGTACTGAGCGCCTGCTAAGAGCTAGAGGGAAATTTGGAAATGAATAGTGACGGTGATTAAGCAACTCACTGATTGTAATTAATGTTTCTGAATTGCACATGGTAACAAAAAGTGAAATGGCAAAAAAAAAAAAAAAGAAAAAGCTGCTATTTCCTCATTTGGAGCTGGATACGTTCCTTATCGCTTCTCAAAGAAATAAACTGGGGGGTAGGGGAGCTCTTAAATTCCTTAGAGAAAGGCTATTTGTTTGTCTTATTTTATTACCTTTCATTGTGTCCAGAATAAAACAGGCTTCTTCCTGAAAGTTCTGAATCATCTGGGGGGGAAAAAGCAAATTTGCTGATTGTTAACAAGCAATCTCTCTTTCTGAGTTCCTGAGGACTCCACACAACCACAGTGCTCAGTCAATGTCTGGAGAGCCCCTCACGCTTACAGCTGAAAGTCTGAGAACCCCCGTTTCCGAAGGGCTATGGACAGCAGTGACGGCCCCAAATCCATTGGTCGAGTCCCCATAAAGATTACGTAAGCCTCCACTGAATTCTTTCTGATCATTAACCAACAAAACCTTTCCAAACTCACTGACTCACAGCAACTCCCCGTGGGTTTCTGAGACTGTAACTGTTTACAGGAGTAGAAAGCCCAGTCTTTCTCCTGAGGCGCTGCTGTGGTTTCCAACTGCTGACTCTGTGGACACTACTCCAACCAGGGATCCTTCATTAACTGAGGATGGAGGTAATCCACCCTCAAGCAGAGTGCCTTGGAAAGTAGATTACCTCCACCCCTCTTCAGCCAGCCCAGGAAGGGCAGTCTCTCCCAGGGGCTTGTTTGGGTGTGTCCTTGGAGGCGGTCACCACCCTGGGGTGGTGCAGGGGTGGCACAGTCGTCACGCCCTATCAATCTCTCTGTGACTGCTTTGGTCAGAAGGCCCTGGACCCATCGTGTAAGCCCTTCTATCTCCCGATGTATACATCCCAATCGTGGTCCCGTTCCTACAACTGATGCTCTGACCTGCGGCCACTCATGAACCTGTGCCAGTTCCCTCTTGCCCCGCACCTTCTCTAAGCAGATGTGTGGCTATGAATCCCTGGACGCCACTTTGACCTCCTCCTGCTCATGGTCTCCCTCATTCTAATGTGTCTGTATGTTGACATTGTCCCTTTCAAGATTTAATAGATGCTCTCTTTAAAATATAATTGAAAAAAAAAAAAAGTATATTTGAAATGGGGTCTCTTTTGTACCCTAAAACGCCTCTTAAAAAGCTCCTAAAAGCCTGGGTTTGTGTTCTCTCCACATCTCTTGCTTCCCCACCATTCCACGCCCCACCCTGCGTGCTTTGGCTTCCCAAATTTCACAAGCCCAGCTGTCTGCAACCTCAGTCTCAAACAGAGCCTGCATCCCCCACGTCCATCTCAAGGCCTCCCTCCCAAGGTGCCGTGGACCCCGCAGGCCAGAAACAGACACGCTGGTTGCCAAATCTTACCTTGACCGTGTGGTCCTTCCTAAAGCAGAGAGCTCCGTTTTCCCTTCTCAAACCCCCTAACTCCAGTGTACAAAAGGAAGGCAGAAGCCTCTGAGTGGCAGTGCAACACGCACTGCCATCGACTACACTGACTCACAGCGACCCTCGAGGGCAGAAAGAACGGCCCCTGTGAGTTTCCAAGACTGTGACTGTGGGAGAAGAAAGCCCCGTCGGCCCTCCTCGGAGTGGCTGGTGGTCTCAAATGGCCAGCCTTTCAGACCACAGCCAAGCAAGTAACCACTATGCTATGAGGGCTTCCAGACGGCAACAGATGACCAAACTGTGGATCTGCTGAACGGCAGTCCAGGTCGTTCCTTCCACCAGAAATGAGGAATGGCCTACTGACAGGTGACTCCAAATGATGCTGACGACACCGGGATGTGATTTTTGGCGTAGAACTCAGAAATTGGGAAAAATCCAAGGTGCTGCTACAACAAAACCCCGCCCATTCCCACTGATCAATTATGTGACTGGGGCCCAACATCATTCGTATGGTGGGGGCAAAAACAGGACGAATAGAGGCTGACCTCCACTTCATTCTGGCAATCACGAGCCAGTCTTCACCTACAGTCTAACTAACACCCACCTCTTTGTTAATTACTTTCCAAATAGCGTGGTTGATACCCCTTTAATTAATTATATAATATTAATCTTGTGACAGTTCTTTTCCAAAGACATAATTCACAATGTGTAAATGCATCTTTGTTTTGAGGTATCACACGATAGGCAGTCAACAAGAACTGTTCACACTTAGCAATGCGAAGACAAAATTCTCAGGGAGAGGTCAACGGAAACACTAAGTCAAGGTGACACAAGACTGCTGTAAAACATCTGTTGAAGGAAAGCACATTTATAAAATGAATGGTTGTGGCTTTATTTTTTATCTTTTTTCAGGGGATAGCATGAAGCCCCACTACCACAAATTAGGCAGTTGAGTTTCCTACATTTGGAGAAATCGCAGGGGTCAGCACACACAGAGTGCAATGGGTGAGTCTCACCCTGGGAAAACCACCTTCGTGATCATGGTGTCTCCCCTGTGTGGCTTTAAATCATGCCTCTATTGAGGTTTCTGGGAATACAATAGTGATGTATCCATTTCATTTTAAAATGTCTCATAATATCCCCAGAGATGACATCTTTTGCAATTATTTTTAAGTTTATGAAAAAAAAAAATCTTTAATTAAATCTATAAATGCACCATGTGATCTTTAAAAAGAAACTATTATTACTTAATGTATTTCAGGAAGTAAGCCAGCAAAAAAAAAGGTTGAAAGCTTCTGATCTAGAATCCTGAACTGCCGGGGGCTGCTCCTGCCCCCGCCCCAGCGCACAAGCTCGGACAGACCAGCTGCCAACGCTACCTCATCGCTGATGAGCACGTGGATCCCAGTGGGTCCCTGCTTGTAGATCTGGCTGATCTGCTGAGGGGAGATGCTGAACAGCTGAGCAATTTTTTCTGTCAGCTCCACGGCCGTCAACTCTTCGAGATAGATGGCATGGTACACTGCAAAGGGGAGAGGGAAGGGATTCAGAACAGGGTCACCTGCTCATGAAGAACTGTCCGCTTCAGAAGGACCCAGAAGTCGAGGGCCTGGGCTCAAATGCTGGCTCGGCTACTTGCTAGCGATGTGATGTTGGGCAAGTCAGTGTAGCCTGCTGGAGCCTCCACTTCCTTAGCTAAAGAACGGACATTAACGTGGAGAGCAAATGTTTCGAGAATGATGAGGGCAACGAATGTACAAATGTGCTTGACACAACGGATGGATGGATGGTGATAAGGGTTGCATGAACCCCCAATAAAATGATTTTTAAAAAAGAGAAAAACTATAGAAGACTCAAGAAAAAAAAAAAGAATGGACATTAATAATGAAATCAGCTGTGGAACAGAGATATGAATTGTAAATTTAAAGCCCGTAGACGTGCTTCGACCGTGCCTGGAGTTACATCAGGAACTCAGCGGACATAAGTGATCACCATTACTTCTGGCACATGCAGAATCTGCTGCTCGATGCATTCCCACCGCACATGCCCTGGAAGACATCTCTTCACCTCTTCCTGTCTGTCCAGAACAACCTACCGAAGAAGGTACCATTTGAGTCTCCATCTTCCTGCTTTCGCTGTTGGTGCTGCTGCTCCTGCAGCTGCAAGGACTCCTGACAAACGTAAATGGTCAATCTCGGGCGAACCATGCTAAGGAGGGAAACAAAGCAGCCTGTTAGTCGAGATTGTTCGGGGTGAGCGCACCTTGGGGGCACACTTGCACATCTCCTTTATTAGCAGTGTAAAGCAGGGGCTGATAACCGCATTTGCTCACTCTTTATGAGCTCTACAACGCGGCTTGCATTTTGCCTTTCAAAGGCAAAAACGGCTCGTTCTAAGAGGAGACGTCCTATCAGCTTTGGAAGGTTTGGCTTTTCTTGACACATCAGACCTGCCAATCTGGTACTCCCGGCCCTCCTCACTGGTGTCTGCCTTCTTCCTACAGCTCAGATTTGGCTGAAGCACCTTACCTGACCTATGTGACCTTGGTGGTCACTTGAGTTTATGACCTTTAGTATAAAGGTTAGAAACACTCAAAATGTGGGAGCTACTGCCTTGTGAGTCAGGTTCAGGATAAAACACTTTGACTTTGAAACGCCAGCAGGTACCCTGGAGTATCTGTCTCTCTCATTTACTGTCTTCTAAGCAGCCTGAAAAGAGGAAGAGCCTCAAGGTGATGGACTGACACAAGGCCTGCGATCGAGAGCAACTATGTGGCAGCATCCCCTCTGCTGCAGACACCACCGTCGCTATGAGCTGGAAACCAACTTGATGTCATCTAAAGTGGACTAAACTCTCTTTTGGTTCTTCTTATCAAACCAGAAAGTCAGACCCACTGCCACTGAGTTCCTTTCAACTCACCGTGACCCTACAGGACTGCTCCTTTTTGGTTCTGAGACCGTACGTCTTTACAGGAGCACACAGCCTCATCTGTAACCAGAGGAGCAGCTGGTGGGCTTGAACTGCTTACCTTGCAACTGGCAGCATGACATTTAATGTACTATGCCACTAGGGTTTCTTTCTGTGCTCGTGTGTGTGTGCATGCGCACATGCGTATTTTAAGAATACAGTACTCCATTACCTTCCCCCACCCTCTTCTAATAGTACTGGCATAAAATTCATACAATTCAATGGTTTAAATAAAATATTAAAGAGCTTTGTTCCATTATCTCTTGAGCTGAATACTGTATTCTTTCCTACTAAATACTCTTTAGCTAATATACTAAAAAAGATCCATTCTTTTTCCCTTCCTGTCACCAACCCCAGAAATTCACCTTTCCTTAAAAATTTCCCAGATTACTGTCCTGAGTGAACTTTCAGGTGACATACACACACATACCCACTTAACGATCTGCTTCATTATTTCATCACTGATTGGTTCTGTTGCCATTGACCTAGATTTTCCCCATCAATATTAAACTGTAAATTCCAAAAGGAAAAACTACAAACTACTGGTACAATTAGCATCTGTAAACAGATAATGAAGCTAACTTCTACCAACTTTAAGAATGATCTCTTTCCCAGTAAGGACCTACTTAGGGCCTTTGCACCTGCTGTTCTTTCTGCCTAGGATGCTTTTCCCTCAAAGGACCCCGCTTCCTCACATGCTCGTAACTCAGCCTAAATACCCTCTCCTGACCGTACCCTGGTACCTACTTTGTTTTCCTTCAAAGCATTCATTGCTATCAAAATACCTCACTTGTTTTTATTTGTCTCTCTCTCCAAACAGAAAGCAAACTCCAGGGTCACCAATCCTTATGACTGGTGTCCTCAGATCCTACAGAGAGACTCACTGAGTATTTGGTGAATGAAAAATCTACCTGGGAATGGATATAAACTACCTAGCTATTATGAAGATTTCTTGGGTCAAGCGTATGTAAGATTATTTTCATCTTTGTTTATTTAGTACATCGCAGGCATTCAAAGCCATCTTTTGAGAAGTTGTATTTAGCTGCGCACACGGCATTTTGAAGACTCCCGGAATCCAAATCTATTTGCAATCCAACCTCACCGATAGCGTGACACTGATTACATACCGGCCTTTTAATGCATTGAAAAGTCTGATTCCATCTGCAGGGCCACAGATTTGGATCACATCATCTCTAGTTAGTTTCAATAAATCCGCCCCTGGAATAAATGTAACACAATGATCTCCTTGGTGCTCTTTCACAAGGACCCTTCCCGCGAGTACGTGACAGTCAGTCTTGGACCAGGCAGGCAGGCTCTCCTCCACCTGGCCCAACCTCCTCTCCGGCCTCCACTCCCACCCAATTCGCTCAGCCACTTACGTTCGTTCGGCCCCTCATCATATCGGGCCTAATGAACCAGCTCTTCTTCCTGTCCGACCCCATGACAGGCTCTTGGCCATGGCTCCTTGAGATGCGCTGCATGCATGCCACCATTCCCTGCCTCCAGACTCTCCCTCGTCCCCACCTCTGTAGGTACACTTATCTACTTACTGCATGACAACTATTCAGTCACCTGTTTCAGGGAGAGGTGTATGTTTGTCTTATTTATGTTAGTTTATTATACTACATGATGAATAGCTCTGACATGGAAATAAGCCCTATCCGTTTTTGTATAGTACCCTTCACAGAAGGTACTAAATAAATGGAAATGTGTTAGGTAAAGTATAATATTGTGGAAAGATTTCAGACCACCTTCAAATGCCCCTTGATAAAATGCTATATGAAATCTAATTTTTTAAATGTACCATGTAATAAATATTTTAAGATTAATATGAGTTTGTACTGTCTTTCTTTTTATCTATCTCACAGCACAGCTGCAGCTAGTGAGAAAGTCTGATGGGTTGTATGGAATTAATTTCAGCATAAAAATCCTTAAGATCTCACACACAGTAAGCAGTCTGTCACACAGAGACTCCCACCCACTGCCAGTGACCAGACAGTCTTTGCTTTCCCTGGGGAGGGGCTGGCGAGCTTGAACCACCACCCCTGCAGATAGCAACCCCCATGCTTAACCCATGGCACCACTAAGCATTCGACATAAAGGAGAGCCCGTGCTGGGTGGGTGGTGAAGAACAAAAGCAAATTTAACCTGAGAAGTTTGTGAAAAGCCTTGTGAAAGTAGAAAACCGGTTTCGGTGCAACCACTGCTGAGCTTCCTGAGGCGTGGTTGTCGGCAAGAGGTTCTGAAAGAGAGAAAGCATTTTTGCTGAGTAATGAAATAAATGTGCCTGTTATTTCATCAGGATATACACACAGGCTCCCACACTCAGGCCTAGTCCACTGGCAAGCGGTTTCCCCACTCATCGCTCCTTATCTCAGCAAGCATGCAACAGGCCCGCGGGGTTCCTCCTTGTTCCCCTGCGAGGCCTGCATTACTTATTTCACATCCCAACTCCTAGGGCGGTAACGGGTGCACAGTCACAGTTCAGTAAGTGCTTACGTACTGCAGGACTACCTTCCCTCATCGCTAGGAGCTGCACACTGCACAGAGTTGACATGCAACTTTCAACTTACGTCTGTAACTGGAGGGGGCGGCTCGGGCTGGTGGTTTGGTGAGCCATTACTAAAGAAATATTGAAAAAGAAAGAATGAGTCCCGCGCACCTCCTAGGGGATTGGGGAATTCATTATCTCATTCTTCATCCTCACAGTCTATTTTAAGCTAGAGATTTAAAAGACCTGAGATCTCCCATAAAACAGTCATACCCTTCGACTCAATGCTTCTACATCTGTTCATCTGACCTAGAGGCTTTACATGAGGGGGAGCAGAATTATGCCATTTGTAACATTACTTATTATTGAGGGAGCTGAAAAAAAGGAAATCTAAAATTTCAGTACGTTGGGACTCATCACACAAATTATGGCACCATAAATACATAACGGAAAATTTACTAGAGCATAAACAAAAGATATCAGGATATAAAAGCATATCAACATATTACAACCATATTAAATATATGAATATGAAGGAGCCTCAATAGTTTGTGGGAAAATGCAATTAAAAGACAATGGAATTTTCCCACAAGCTTTTAAAAGTCCTCCCCCCTTCCTCCCATACCACACAAACACATAGAAAAAAGATGGGAGAAAAAATTTATGCAATACAATGTGATCGCACCATTTAATTTTAAAAATTAATAATTATTTTCAAAGCAGCTCCAAAAAGTAGTGCTGTCCTTTTGACTGAATAGACGGCACTTAGCAGGATTTCTAAATTTCTGATTCCTGCAAATCTGTGGAAACAGAGCAGTATTGAACCCACACCAGCCTTCATTAAGTATACCACCATATGTGGCATCCATGGGATCTGGAGCTCCTGGTCTAGCAAGCAATGAAAAGGCCAATCACATGTTTTGTTAAGAAAGCTTTGATTGAAACATCCATCGTGTTTGACTCTGAAGCTTAACCAAAATACTGAAGAACAGACGGCCAAGGCCATTCAGTGTTTGGGCTTCGATGCAGCAACAGTGGCTAGCAGGGCCAGAACACAGGACCAGCTCAGCAGATGGAGAACAGCTCTGCCCAGACAGCATTACATTTCAAAGCTAAGTAAAGGTACATCCAGGCGCAGCTGGACTGACCAATAAGGGCTCTGGCTAAGGGAGCAGAGGGTGAGGCCTGAGCATCCTCCAGAGAAGTGTTCCCAGAGGACTAAGTGGTGGTGGTTGGGGGGGGGGCATGCTATTGGACTTCTACTTAGGGACAGGATACCACTCAGAGGTGGAAACCTGGTCTGAGTGGACAAGCTATAGTTTCCTGTATGGGTTTCATGGAGAGGTAGTGTCTGCAGTCATGGAGGTGCTGGGACAGGAGGCCTCGGGAAGAGTTGTGGATCCCGACAGAAGGGGTGGTAGACACTAGGATATGTTAAGTCAGGGAAGAGGGGCCTTTGGAAGTCGAGGCCAAAGAGAAGGAAGAAGTTCCCTCTCTCGTCCTGTACTGACCACGGCACAGCAGAACCATCAGTGGGATGTGCACACGTCGAAAACGAAAGGACACCTGGGTGTGGACAGATCGGGAAACCAAACACCAAAGCCTGCCCACCCTCCAGGAAGATGGACTCTAGGCGAAGTCACACATCTGTTCATAACTCTGCGATGACAGCTGGGGGGACATCTGAGTGAAGCTGGGGGGACATCTGAGTGATACTGGAAGGACCGGTCACAGTGAGCGACAGGCTTGCTCGCCACCAGCTTGCACTTAGTAGGTTCCTTCTACTTTGTGGTTGGTTCTGTGCTACATGAAGCCCATTTCTCTTTGGCATGGTTTTATGTTTGAGTTTTTCCACAGCCCTGTGACAAGAAAACACTCTCTTCTCCCCACTCTACTTCTCCTCGCCTGTCAGAGGTCTTGACGTTCTAACCTCTCTTCTGTTCATCTCTGCGCGCCCCTAAAAAGGGGGCCCAGAAAGAGCCATTGAGGCCTCCCTAATGTCTAGTTTCTGAAACACACTTCTGTTCTACATCGTCGTTAGTGGAATGGTCTTTGTAAGAAAGGGTTAGAAAAGCTGGGGATCGACAAGGCGGTCCGCTGCAAGGACAACTGCATGCAGCCCCTTGGGAACCCCGACTCAGCCACTGGACCCCGTGACAGGCTGGAGGTGACAGCAGCTCTGAGCAATGGCGTGTAGGGGCACCACATGGACAACCAGGGTGCACGTTTCACCCCCAAATGAGAGAAACCTTTGGCTTTGTATCAGGTGCAAGGGGAGCCGCTATTGCGTTGGCCTGTCCTGCAATGCAAAGAAAGCAGCGCTCTGACTTGGCAGACGCTCGGAAGGGTGAGAGACCCGAGGCGATGGCACACGAGCTGCTGGTGGGACCAGGAGGTCCTCACCCTGAAATGTGATTACCCTTCTCTGCGTTCCGGAACCCCCGTGGGCTGCTCCACTCACTGGCTTTGTTGGACTCTCTTTCCCCTGAAGGTTTAATTAAGTTTAATCCTATTTTGGCAACTGGTCTAGGTTCAGTGGAATCTTGTGCTCATTATAATAAGAAATGGCCTCTCAAAATATATATATATGTATAGTACTATATAGGTAGCACTGTTTAAGTCAGGATGCAAGGGCCAGCGCCACACCCTGGCTTCCTCCTTGAATGCCTTTGCTGGGTGGGCTGCTCCCTAGAGCTTGCTTCTTTTATGGGAGAGAAACTTAAACCTAATAATGAAGACTGTTAACGGGAGAAAACGTGACGAACTCAATCTTAAATGTTTATATATTTTCAGTTGCCAGTAAGTAAATTACATCATTCATTGGAAGGGCAAGAGAGTTGTTCCTGTAAAAAGATTTTTTCCCTTCTTTCTCTTTTTCTCCCTTGGTGAGAAAATTCAAGCTCAGTAATAAATTTAGCTTAAAGCCCTAGTTCTATCTACACCTTCCACAACTGCTATCCATCTTTACTTTCTAATTGTTGTATTTCAAGCAATACACCCATGGACTTGAAAGCCTATCTCAGGCTTCAAAATGGAATATACATTAAATGTTTGAACTGTTAAGAATCCCTTAAAAAAAAAAAACTGGAGTAGGCATGTGTACCAACTGCCAATTACCTCCGATGGTAAAGGGCATTAAGGCAAGATTAACCTATCCCACAGAGAATTCCAAAATTTCACTTTGGCCAATATCTTCAAACTTCTTCCCATAATTATCAAAGACCCATAGTAATTAGACATTACATTCTTGACAAGTAACAACAAATTTTAGTGATTGCACACTGTTTCCAATTTCCATTCCCTGCTGAAAATACACGTAGGAAACCACAAGACCAGCAGCAGTAGGAAGCAAAAGCCTAGACATTCCGTCCCTAACTAACCAAAAACTCGCCACAAATTCTATTTTCTAATTCTAACTGGAAAAAAAAAGAGAGAGAGGGCTATGTGAAACTTTTCCGGTCTCTTCTGAAAAATCACACTTTAGTTAACACAGGAATCCATCAGAGATGGGCCAAATAGAACTATTAATTTGGAAGGATGGATAATGATTTAGAAAGATCATTTGTCTGTGGAAGAGATAATGAAAAAATACGTACTTAGGACACACACAGGCCAATTTCATTTCCCAGACTTACCCTTCCCCCAGAGAAAAACTGCTATGGGAACTGTTGAAACCAGGTGATGGGGAATTGTTGACGTAGGTGATCTCAGGCCACGGGGAACACTGTAAACAAAGGACAACTTAAGAAACTGCAGCAGCACACTAGACCCGAGGGTCAACCACTCAAGCGTGGTTACTTAATAGCACATTTTTGTAGTTGCTGTTGTCCTCAGGCGTTGCTGGGTCCACTTGGACTCGCAGCGGCCCGGGACACAACACCGCCAAACACTGACAGTCGCAAAATGGCTCCACTGGAGCCCACGGTTACAGCCGCTGTGCAATCTATCTTGAGGAGGGGCTTCCTCTTTCTTGCCGACTCTCTACTTGACCAAGTACGATGCTCTTTTCCAAGGACTGGTATCTCCGTAACATGTCCAGAGTAGGTCAGAGGAAATCTTGCCGTCCTCCATCTAAGGAGCTGCATTTCCTCCAAGAGAAGCGGATTTGTTCTTCTGGAAACCCAGGGTACTTTCAGAGTTCTTCGCCTACACCATAATTCAAATGCATCAGTTCTTCTAGACTGTTCACTGTCCAGCTTTAACACACACAAGACTGTTAGAAAGATCGGGCACCTACTCTCGTGGGTGAGGATGCATCTGAGTCCCCACAGCGACGTCTTTGTTCTCTGAACGCTTTAAATAGATCTTTGCAGCAGATTTGCCCAGTGCAATGCAGAACTTGATTTCTTGTCTGCTGCTTCCGTGAGCACCTATTATGGATCCAAGCAAAATGAAACCCATTGACAACTTCAATCTTTTCTCCATTTATCATGATGCTGCCTATTGGTTCAGTTGGAGGCTTGTGGTTTTCTTTGCACGCAGTTGGAATACATACCGATGAAGGTTACAGTCTTTGTTTTTCATCAGTAAGGGCTTCCAGTTCTCTTTGCTGTCAGCAGGCAAGACGGTACCACCTTCTATCCCAGGTGGTTAAGACACCGTCCTCCCGTTCTTCAGTGTTTCGGATCATTTGTTCAGCAGACATGCGGAATTTGCTCAGCATACCATGGAAGGATACAACCTTGACACGTCTTTCCTGATTTTAAACCACTCAGTAGTCCTCTGTTCTGTTCGACTGCCTGCCTCTTGGTCCGTGGACACGCTCCGCACGAGCACTTTGACATGTTTCGGAGTTCCATTTTCTCCAGGGCTAGGTTCCCATTACTCTCAACAGTATCCGTAGTTTGTTGTGATTATACACTTCATTGCCTGTGCACGGTCAAACAGAGCACAAGCAACCAACTTTTGGATATTTTCTACTCCCCGCCAAAATCCACCTAGCATCAGTAATGATTTCCCTCATACCACGTTGTCTTCTGAATCCACCTTGAATGTCTGGCAGTTTTCTATTTAAGTACTACTGAAACCTTTTAAATAGTATCTTCAGCAAAGTTTTATGTGGATGTGATTTAAGGATGCTGTCGGATAATTTCTGTACCCTGTGTCCCTTTCTTTGGGAATGAGTACAAACTTGGATTTCATCTCGTCTGCTGGCCAGGCAGCTCTCTTCCAACTGTCTTGACATAGGCTGGGGAGTGTTTCCAGTGCGTCAACAGCACCCACTGGAATTCTGTCAATTCCTGGAATCTCATTTTTGTCTCATGTCTTCAGTGCGGCATGGACTTCTTCCTTCAATAGCACTGGTTCTTGATTACTTGCTGCCTCTTGAAGTGGCTGAATGTTGATCAATTCTTTTTGGTACGGTGGCTCTGTGTACCCACGGTCTTTTGATACTTTTTGCATCATTCAGTATTTCATCCACAGAATCCTTCAACTCGAGGCTTGAATATTCTCTTTAGCTCTTTCAGCTTGAGATGTGCTGAGCATGTTCTTCCTGTTCGGCTTTCTAACTCCAGGTCTTTTCAAAATTTCATTGTAAAGTTTTATTTTGTCTTTTCAAGTGACAAATTGAAATTTTCTGTCCAGGTCTTTGACTTCATTTGTTCCAGTCCCGTTAGCCGCTCTACGTGTAAGACCAGGTTTCAGACTCTGCTCTGATATCACGTGTGTCTTTTCTTCCTTTTTAAAGGCCTCCTGGTTTTCTCATGTACGGAGTGCGTGTCACGACCCCACAACTTGTCTGCTCTTCAGACGTCAGCGCTCAGTGCAGTAATTCTTTCTTGAGATGGTTTCTAAATTTAGGTGGAGTCTATATAATCAAAGTTGTATTTTAGCTCCCCTGGACTTGGGGTTTAATTTTCTTCAGTTCTCACCTGAGCTTACATATAAGCAATTGATATTATGCTCCTCAGTCAGTCCCGGTCTTGCTTTGACTGCCAAAATTAACTACTCCGTGTCTCTTGGCATAAGGTGCAGTCACCTTGATTCCCGTGTATTCCTATTAAGTGTTCCGAAATTCCTATGAGCATGAGACAGAGTGGTGGAAGCCCACAGTCCGGTGAAATCCACATGTATTATGCTTATGTTGTTGGGGGGGAAAAAAGCTAAAGCTATTTACAATGAAGTCACTTTGCAAAATGCTATCATGCGAACTCCAACTTCATCTCTACTGCCAAGGTCCTATTTTCAGCCTCTATTCTTCCTTTGTTCTTAATTTTCACATTCCAGTGGACAATAGTTATCAGTACATACTGATTGCATGTTTGGTCAATGTCAGACTTCAGAAGTTGGTAGCATTCTTCAGTTTCTTCGTCACGAGCTGTAGTGATTGATGGTAAATTTGAGTCATATTGTACTGACTGGACTTCCTTGCAGGCACGGGTTGTCCTACCACAGACAGCAACTGTGCTTCAAGACAGAGCTTGAAATGTTCTTTTTTGAGGTAAACTTGATGCCATTTTTCTTGAATTTGTCATTTTCAGCATAGCAAATTATACGACTGTCCAAGTTAAAATGGCCAATACAGGTCTTTGAGTTCACTAATGCCCTGGGTTTGACCTTCACGCATTTCCATTTCATTTTTGACGATTTCTAATTTTCTAAGATCCATACATTCTGTGTTCCAATTACCACCGGGTGTTTGCAGCTGACGTGTGTTTGTCCTCATTGAGTCAAATGAAGATCCCCTTTCTCTGTCATTATGTCTGACTCAACTTCCCTAACTCTATCCTGAGTACCTTCCAACCTGCAGGGCTCACTGTCCAGCACTGTCTGACCATGGTCCACTGCTATGCATCCACAAGGCTTTCAGTGGCTACTTCCTAGAAATGGGCAGCCTAGCCTGGAAACCCTGACAAAACCTCTTCACTCTGGTGACCCTGCTGGTAGGTGAAATACCAGTGGCACAGCTTACGGCGTCACAGCAACGCGCAAACTCCCACAGCATGACAAACGGAGAGAAGAGCGGTAGACATCTGTATTAGTCCATCTGAATTTATCAGCACAAGGGAATATGCTCAGAACCATTAACATTCAACCAGGCTGGAAGGAATAGATTTTTCTCTGGTGAGTAAATCCCCAAACCTCTTGCCACTGAGTCGTTTCCAACTCATCGTGACCCTATGTAGACAGGGTGTCTGAAACGTAAATCTCCACAGGAACAGACAGCCTCACCTGCCTCCCAAAGAGTGGCTGATGGTTTTGAACCACCAACCGTTTAGTTAACAATCGAATGCCTGGCCCACAGCCCCAGCTCATCTTGGATGCGTAAACGTATCACTACAGATCTTTCAATACTGGCTGAAATTAGCGCCCGAGACCCTTTACCTCGGTGAGTATAGTTGTCTCATAGGAAGGTTGATATTTCTCTTTCTCGTGAGGTGTTCGTTTTTCCATTTTCTCCCTATCAGTTTTCTGCTTTCTGTCTGCACCTTTGGGCTGAAACGAGAATAATATTTGTGTTTGAAATTCTAGAACTTACTTTGGACCCAGAACAGAGTGCTTCTCAAGAAGGTGAATGTCCACCTGTGAAGTCCAAGCCACAGCGCCAGCCGGGCCCCTTGTCTACCGAGGGAAGAGGACAAGATGGGAGGAGGGCCGGCACTACCTTGAAGACCTTGATCTGGCAGCTGGCCGAGTGCAGGTGCTCCGCATACTCCCCGTTCTCGTTCTCCTTGAAGGTGTCGATTTGGACGCGGAACGGCACGCCCTTCTCTCCCCCGTGCTTCCGCATGGTGAACTCCGTGCTAATACAGTGCACCTGAAGAGAAGACCCCACGGGGGCCAAGTCACTCACAGCAAAACCTTCAGTAGGTACACTGTTTGCTGCTGACTGGGAAGGCCTGACGGTCTGATGGAGGAAACGAGTGATTCTGAGATGCCAACAAAGGGACTGTGCAGCAGGGATGCTCCCACTGTGGGGCGCGGAGTGTGTTCGCTGCCCGGCGCAAGGAGAGGAACAGGAATGGGAAAGTAAAGGTTTCTGGGCTTTCCGGTGGGTGTTAAAAAGAGGAGGGGCCAGTCACACTAGGGAAATATGAAAATAGGAGCTCACAGGCCCTGAAGAGGGGTTGGGGGGTGGTGGGGGGAGCACTGTTTGGTTCCTGCCTAAGATCCAAGACACTGGTGAATCTTAGCAGTGCAGACTTGCCTGATCAACCACTTACTAGAGCTTAGGCAAGTTACTCAACCTCTCTAAGTCTCTACAAGCCAGAATTATTGTTGACAGTATTAGGTAAAACCACGTGTACAAAGTGCTTTCTTAACAGAATGACTGCCTCATGGTAAGCACTCAATAAACTGATAGCTATCATTATTATACACAAAAACTTCCTAAGAATCTATGCAAAGGACATAATCAGATGTGCAAATAAAAATTCAAGTATAAAAGATTTAAAGTAATCTTTCTGATTATAATTTTAAAGTGGAACAATTTAAATAGTAAATAATTGCTAGGTAAAACATTGGGTGCATCCAAAGCATGAAATTCAACTAGCCATTAGCAAGCATTTCTGGGAGACGTAAATAAATATACTAGGGTTATTAAAAGGGCAATCCGGAACTCCCCGGGGCTCTCGGCTGCATGTTGGGGCAACTGGACATGACAGACTGAAGCCCTGTGGAACGCTCACATTCAACCTGTTTTCTCCTGTGAGACGCAGCAGGACCTGAATCCCCAATACTTACCTGGATAAACACAGAGGTCCTCTTTGCAGGGTCCCATAGGAACTCCACCGTGTTCAGCTGGGTTGGGTTCGCGCGAGGGTCGATTATGCCCACGGACATTGGGATATCTGAGGAAGAAAACAATCGTCACTGAACAATGCTGAGGGCTACGACTGATTCTGACCGTCCTGGTTCCTAGCTAACCAAGATTCTTCTATCGCATCCTAAAACGTTTCTTTCTACTTTACAAAGTTTTTTAAAATAAGGCCATTTAAAAGCACTAAGTCTAAACACGAGCTTTAGTGTCAGTTATAGCTTACAAGCTGCCTCATCTGCTGTCCTACGATTAACTGTAGAAAGGGGAAGCAAGGTCCAAATAAAAACAGAAAATAAGTGGGCACAAATGTCACCGAGAAGGATGCTGACTTATGAAGGTACCAAGGAACCTGGTAGCAGGGTGGCAGTCTCATACAAGAGGGAAACACACTGATGGACTTCAGTGGACCCGTGCTCGTTTGCCACCCAGCAGGGACTGAGAGGTCACGCTCGGCGGCTCCTATCAATCGTCCAGCTGGAGCAGGGAGGCCACGCTAGCAGTACTGATGATCACGCTGTGTTCCAACTCTACTACTGATTGTCATCAATGACTTCAACAAGGAAACATTACAGGGCATGAATTTCGTTGTGTTGGATTCACCCTATGATCAATTTGCCAGATGTCTATCAGGATGGCCTATGAGAGAACCAAGAGGCCCTAGCGGCACAAGGGTTATTAAACACTTGGCTGCGAACCAACAGGTCTGTGTTTCAAACCAAGCACCCATCTCGGGAGAAAGATGTGGCAGTCTACGTGCAGAAAAATGACAGCCTTAGAAACCCCACGGGACAGTTCCACTGTCATAGAGTCTACGAATCAGAATTGATTAGACAGCAAAGGGTGTGGGAACGACAGCTCTTTAAACATTTTACTGGGACACTATGCACGTATCGTATAATCCTATCAAGGAGAGTTGTACAATCATTACTAGAGCATTTTCTTCTTTCTTGTACTCCTAGTTATTAGTGCTTCATATCCCACCCACCCCACCCCCAATCTGCCCTGCCACAGTCCCAAGACACTATTAATCCAGTTACTGCCTCCACAGATTCACCCATGCTGGATTTCATAGACCCAAAAACAAAGAAACAAAGAGGAGATTGTAATCACGGGTCTTAGGCTTTCAGTAGCACGCACATCACTTATCTGGCCCTCAGCATTAGTCAAACAAAGGATTGTGCAACACACTAAGAGAAAGCAAGCCTCTCCTCTCTCACATTCTACTCAAAATAGGATCACCCTGAGGAATGTGGTAACTGAAATTCCACTTTAATTTTGGCCTCATCCGACAAGCAGTTATTTTAAGGATGAGCCAATAGCCAAGCGGGTCCGTGCTAAGTGAGCCACTAGAGCATGCTGAATCGAGTACATCACATAAAAGCAACTCCCAGCCCACAGGTAGAGGCATCTCTCTCAACTCACCTATGTCGAGAATGCGATCTCCAGGTCGGTTCCACCTCCAGCCCTCCAGCTGCTGGTGTTCCGTGTACTGCAGCCGTCTGTCGTGGAACACAACTCGGAAAGTACTCTAAAGGGAAGCGACAAGGTGCGTGAAGTCTTAGGCTGAGGGCACACTCCGTCTCAGTCAGTGGCAGTGGGTTACTGGGATAGCGGTCAGGGTGCACATGATGAACTCAATCCACGCCCCGGAGCTGGAGCTGCAGTACAACTGTCCAATGGACCAAAGTTTATGACCTATATTTACAAGTAAAAGGCTCAGTGAGTATGCGCATGTTCATGGAAGGCTCGTGGAAGCTCCCCAGAACGTTCTGGAGTCCTCTCCCTTGTCGGCCATGATTTGCAAGGCGCTGGAGCACAAACAAAGCAGGTCTTTTCTTGGGGAATTCTGGGAATTATTTGGGAATAATAAAGGTTGGATGAGTTTCTTCTCGGTGAAGCTTTGCAGAGCCTCTACTCTGAGAAGGTATGCGGGGACAGCGAAGGAGTCCACTGCACCCACGTGGTCCACATTTACTCAAACCAGGGGCCTCCATCACTTCCATGTCCCTCAAAAATCAACAGTGTTCTTGGAACTGCAGCAAAGGGAAATCTGCTCTAATTAATTTTTCTGGTTTAAATCACAAGTCAATTTATAATTCTAATTACCCTGCAAAATTACTCTTTTTGTACAGAATAAAGGGCATTCCTCGTAATCATAAAAAGCAGCAGCAACAAAGTCAAATTATAACAGGATCCCTTGAAAATTAAACTGGTTCTATAAAGGAAAACTACCAGGAGTTGCCCACAACTGGTTTCTAGACACAATGCAAAATTACTTTTCTTAAGCCCTGCTTTATTCTAAAAAGCATACCACACACAACAAGCCCTCCTTCAGTCTATAAAACTTGCATCTTTTCAGATGTGATGTTTATATTTCACTGTTATATTTCATATAACAGTGCTGAAAACATGGCCTCCCTTGGAAGCCTTCCTGATGGTAACGAGGCATTGAGGACACTCCGAGGACCAGTTTAGAGCAGTGGTTCTCACCCTTCCTCAGGCTGCCACCCTTCACGGTTCCTCATGTGGGGTGACCTCCAACCATCACAGTATCTCGGTGCTACTTCATCACTGTCATGTTGCTTTTGCTACTGTGATGAATCGTCATGTACATATCTGATAGGCAGGATGTATTTTCATGGTTACAAACTGAACATCATCCAAGCATAGTGATGAATCACAAAAACAATATGTAATTATATACTGTGATCTATTTATTTCTAATGACAAATCAATGAAATGTTGTCTTGAAGCATGGTGTAGCATGGGTAACAGTCTGCACGCTGGGCACTCGTATGTGGGCGTGTGTGCATGTGGGCAGAACCGCCTGGAGACGGATAGAGGAGCGGTGTCTCGGTTCCTAAGACCATGGGAAATGTGTGTTTCCTGATGGTCTTAGGCAACTCCTGTGAAAGGGTCGTTTGACCCCCAAAGGGGTCGTGACCTACAGGTTGAGAACCACTGAACAAGATGAAAAAGAGCTGCTACTCATTAACAATCTGCTGCTTTCCCTGCGATAGGCCACGAATCCAGAGTGTGAAAGTCTCCAAATCGGAACTCTAGTGAGCCAGAAGACCCTCAGACATGGAATGTAATATTCTCTTGGTGCAGATCTGAAAAGCCTGGTCCCCAAGGGAATGAACTGAGCAGTTTGAGGGGCCGCCAGCAAATTGTGGACAGTAAGAGATTCCAATCAAGTCCTCTTCGGAAACAAAAGAATATTAGCCAAGCTATCCCAAAAGAGTCAATAAAGGGCTAATCTGCAGAGGAGTGGCTCTTTTATATTCTTTTACCTTCACCAACTTGCCATTGATTTCTGGAAGTTCTCCAAGCTTCCTATTGTCGAGCATTCGAATTTCATATGACTGTCCTAGAAGAGAAGATCGTTACACATTATCATCATCATCACAACTGAACTTGGTGAGACTCACCAAGGATACAACTGTCTGAATATACAAGAGATAGGATTTATTAGTATTAGTAATAACTATAAGCCTATAAACTAGGCACTGTGCTAAATGTTTTCATATATCATCCAAGTGTTATCAATTCCATTTTTACAAAGAAACTGAAATACAAAGGGTCGTATAGCACTTCTCAAACAGTAGGGGTGTCCTGGGAACATGGATTCGAAATAGGGAGACAGTAACTTAAAAAAGAAGACAGTGAAACATAATGAAAATGACACAGGAACTCAGATCTGCGAGTACGGCTTTGTAGAGAGAGCACAGTGGAGAGAGGAGTGCACAGACAGAGCTGAGCGTCCCTGGAAGCACGCCTGAGCCCAGCCGGCAGCGCTCACCGCTCACCTTGGTTGAGGTACGTCAGGGTTTCATCGTGGAGCTTCACTGCTGGGGAGGTGGCAGCACACAGCACATATTGAAAAGGCAGGATTTTGTTCTCGTTATCAGGCGGCAAACTGGACTCTTCTTGTTTAAAAATGGGCAATGCAAGGACATCACTGAAATCAAACAAGCGACTGTATTTACAGCTGGTAAGGGCGCGAGAGCAGGTGGAAGCAATTTGCTGGGAAGTGCCATGATGCTCACTCACGTGGTGGTGACCCTCCCCAACCACACAATTATTCTCGTTGCTCAAATGTACAAATGTGCTTGTCACAATGGATGGATGGATGGTGATAAGAGTTGTGCGAGCCTCCAATAAAATGGTTTAAAAAATTATTTTCGTTGCTACTCCATAACTGTCATTTTGCTACTGTTATGATTCAGGCAACCCCTGGGAAAGGGTCATTCAACCCCCAAGGGGTCAGGACCCACAGGTTGAGAACTGCTAACCTAGACCATTCAGTTCAGATTACCTGCTATGATGTGTCCCCCGGCCACACCAATGTGGGAGGTGGCACTTTGTCACTGTGAAGAGAATCTTCCCAGGAATCAGAAGCAGGGGTTCTTCCTGGGAAGCTCTTCCTCGTGAAGAGCTGCTTAGCATTAAGGCCCCCTGAGGTATGCATGAACCTTCTATGCTTACGTGACATTTCTTCATGTTGCCCTTCTAGCCATAATCCCTTTTGTGATATGCTGTAAATTCTAGCCTCCATGCCTGTGGTTACAATCCCATTTTGGAGGGAGTTGTCTCTCTGGCTGTCGAATGCCAGGATTAAGGCCAGGTGTATTCTGAGTCACCACCCTTTGTTTCATTGAGGCTAGGGTCGCTGAATGAGAAAAAACACCTCCATCAAAGCCATGCCTCAGTGTCTCAGAGCCACCTCAGCAGCACACAGGTCTCCCGGGACCATCAAGGAAGAACCCCACGCATTTCTGAGACCCCTGCCTGAAATCGCGGAGGCTGAGCCCAGAGGCACCAGAGATCTTGCGGACAGCACAGGAGCCACGCTGAGACAGACTGTCAGACAGTGAGGGGGAGCGGCAGGCAGGCTTCCTCCACCGTGTGTATCCACCAATCGCTGTATCCTTACTATCTACTGATCCTGACTTGTGGTGACCTGTTCACTCCCCTACTACATCCCCACAACTGAGGGTTGTGTGGCCACCGGGATGAAAAGCGGAGTGTAGTGGGAGCAGCAGTGGGTGGTGGCAGACGGAAAGATGGGAGCGGGAGGGCATGTGTGACCTCTGCCTCTTGGCGACAGGCCTTGGGCTGGTGCACAGATGGATTCCCCTCCCCCACCGAGGCCAGGGCCAGCTGTGGTGAGAGGTCAGCCTGAATGGTCTCTACTGGTCCATAACCATGGTTTAACCATTTCCCTTCAGGCCCACCAGGTAAGGCTGCGATGCCCCTCTTTTAGAAGGGGATGAGGAGGGAGAGAGGAAGGGCTGACGAGCTCTATGGTAAGTGTAAGAGGAAAGTAGGCAGGTGTCTGCAGCATCAAAGGAAGCTAGAAACTATCTAAGTCCAAGGCAGGCTGTCACAGCTTTCTCTCACAGAGGGGCTGGTGGGTTTGAACCACTGACCTTCCAGTTAGCAGCCAAATGCCTTAAACACTGCACCAAAGACTCCACTAAAAAGCACTGTGTTTAAAAAAAACAAACAACCACACCAGAAAAAAACCCAACAACAACGGTGAAGCAAGAGGGTAGATTCCAAAAGTCACTATTGAGTTCTTCAGGAAAAATAAGGCAGACAGGGTTATGCTCAATCGTACCACAGGGTCACTATGAGGCAGGACCAACTCAAGGTCGCCTTACAAGGAAAAGGACACAGCAGCACACACCGACACTCAGAATACAAGTTCAGACAATAAAGCCTTGGATCCAATTACGAAGAAAACATACAGATTTTCACTCCTCAGGCAAAGACAGAGTCATAAACTTAAAAACTAATTAAAAAGAAAATTTTAAAGAAACAGAAATGTTTGAACACTATGACTAGGTCCAAAGAATAAGCAACCAGAAGCAATATATAAGTGCAATAATAAATTTTCTTAAAGCATGAGAGCATAAGAGAAAAATAAGCGTCAATAATAATCAATCAAGCCTCATTAAGAAAATTATACCCCACAGTCATCAAGTAGATTCCAACTCATACTATTTGAACGCATTACCAAAGAGTTCGTGCCAACCCATTATCAACTCATCGGCACAGTAGAACTGCCCCGTGGGCTTCCGGGGCTCATCTTCCTCCCACCAAGTAGCCTGTCGGTGCCAACTCCTAACCCTGTGGCTAGTTAGCAGCCCAACATGTAGCCCACTCTGCCACTAGGGCTCCCTACCTTCCGATTCATAGAGACCCTTCTATAGGTTTCCAAGACAGCCACCTCTAACTCTTTCGGAGCAGCGGTGGGTTTGAACCACCGACTTTGTGGGTAGCAGTCCAATACTTACTGGACAGCGCCACCACAGCTCCCCAAAGGGACAACAAGACCCCTCTATTCCTCCATCGTCTCAATCCTGGGGCTTGGACATTTTTTTGAACCGGGGCTTCAAACAGGTTCATTCCAGTTCCAGCCCTGCTGAGAATTTGCCTTTCCAACCCAGATACATGGAACCAGAATCTACACCTGGGCAGATCTATTACAAACACCTGGGCATCTTGTTAAGCTCTTGATTCTGACTCAGTATACCTGGGTTGGAAAAGCACATTCTCGGCAGGGGGTGGGCCTTAATGACCACACTGGAAGTGCTGGTTGGAAAGCCATTCTGCACTAGGCTCCAGTACACGCACGTCTGTGGCGACAACACCAAACAAAACAAGAGTCACGAAACAACGCTTATTTTCACTGCATGAAGTAATCATTCTCCATTTGGTTTCATTTTAAAAATTTGACCACATCCTGCAGTTTGAAAAACGTTAGTCTCTCTTGTCCCTTAAACTCTGTACTGAATTAAATAAAGTTTCTTTACAAGGCCTTCATCAGTATTAAAACAAAAAACAGCAACATAGTAAAAGTATTCCGGATTGGACTATAACTCAGCAACTCAGAACAGGGATATATTTATTATAATTGAACAAATACAGGATCATGCACACACAGTACTCGGTAAAACACCAAGATGCCCACCCCAAGCTAGAAGACCATTCTTTCTGCCTCCGACTCATCCTTACTCGATACCCTTCCTGAAACTTACTGCCAGAGTCAGTGCCAGCTCAAAGCGACCCTATAGGACAGGACAGACCTGCCCCTGTGGGTTTCTGAGACGGTAACTCTTTACAGGA